GAACAGCCAAACTGCAGAACTGCACTCAGCTGAAGTAGCCTGCAATGCTGCATTTAACCACTGTGCCACCTCGGCTCTAGGTATGCTGCTTGTGGTCTGTTCGTGCATGTGCCAGACGTGCACTGTGCACACGCCAGACGTACACTGTGCATGCATATGCACACTCTACCACCCGTGTGACACCCAGCTGCTTGCCGGAGGTCATGCAGATGCCACATGCTATGTGCACATGTGCAATTGGCCCGGTTGCTTCAAAACCAGGTATGGAATGTGGGCAGGAGGGCCAAATGAGCCACTGCCCCCGACTACTACTGGTACGGCCATACTGGGCCATACCGCCTGGAGCCACCACTGCAATTCTTACAAAAAAGGAGTAAAATAGATATAATTCAATAGAAGAGTGGCATCAACAATTGCACGCCATAAACTTTCAGTAACTCACATGTTGTAAATAAGCACTTGATTTTATGAGAGCATGTATCTGTACTACCAATCAATATCAATTAATCTTGCTGGTCTCATGGTCTCTTGCTTATCTGTTATTCCATAAAGTAGGCAAGAACATGCCACAGTAACATGCCACATTCAAAATTATACATGAGGTAGATTTGAAATAATTATTGCATATAAATTCAAGAAAAAAAGTATAGCAATGTAATTTCTCATTAAAAATAAAGAAGTAATACTTACAAAAGTTGCATTTTCCAGCAATAATGTAGTTGTGTTTGTTTCTACATTCAGTTTAATAACATGTCCATTCCTGTTTTTATATACCACTTCTGTATCTGTTAATAGAAAAATGCATTAAGAATTAGAAAATGCAAATATTCCGTGCAATAGCTTCTTAGTTAATAGACTTTTTTTAATAAAAAAGACATCATCGACCATCCAATACATTAAAATGTGATTAGGCTGAGATAATGACTCCATCAGTGTTATCTGTTTTTGTTAATTTGTTCAGAGATAAGTGCCCCTAGTCTTTCTGACTTACTAATGGAGATAATCTTTCACCTTAACATTATTCTACCTTCTCCCTTGTATAAAACAAGGTCAACTGACTTTTTTAAAAAGCAGACTTAAGCTGTTTGACTTTAACCCCCAAACATCTCTTCCCTCCCTCTCTTTTTTGCACTGTTTTTCACTGCTGCTAAGTAAGAATACAGGATACTTAATACATTAGACATTTTTACATTTAGAAACAAACAAACAAAACTTTCAGGAATGGTTAACTGCTTCATTATTCTACTGCTCTGATGTTTTGTAATTCTCCCACCTATTGAAAGTAATTTTAAACATTTCAAAACACTTTACTGAAATAAGCTTCAATTGCACATAAACCTTATATTCACCATGCAATGGCTGCACAAAAAGAAAGAAATTCGGGAAGATTGTATCATGATGTAACAGTATTGTGAAGAACATGTAATACAAATAAGTTTGAACTGTTATGCTTACATGTTCTTCATTCCTTTCATGTCACCTTTCAAATTCTGCACTAACTAGAGTAATTTCTAATTGAGCAGAGCTTTTGGCTCATCTTTGCTATTTTATCAAATGAAGAAAAAAATCACCATGTAGATATCCTTTAAAAAACCCTAGAAATGTTATTTATTGGATTAAGACTAAAGATGGCACAGGATCCCCATCCATCAGGATATTTTTTTATATACCCTCAAGTCCTTTCATTTTAATTTATGTTACTCAAATGTAGCTGACACCAGGAGTAGTAATTCTGTTTCTTATTCATAATAAATTAAAAACTGTTTTATTCACATCAGGGTTTAATAATTTTAAATATGGCTTGTAAGAAATATTAGGAAACATGAAAGGACCTTAAAAATGGGAAAGCATGTTATACAGATGGATAGCCAGTAAATAATACAAGCACTTCAAAAATAGATGGAGAGGAGTCAACCCCGGTGACCTACAATACTTCTGGCATTTTTGCCTTCCTGCATGAGAAAAATCTAACATACATTCTTGCAACACCTGTAAACTAGTGGCAGCCCTTGAAGAAAAAGTTGATGTATTGAGGCAGCAAGTAGCCGCTTCAACTGATCAGAAAGAATAAAGGTTTATCAGCTCAAAGAAAGGAAATCATACAACAGAAACTGACAGTGAAAACAACTTTCAGTAAGGAAGACACTCCACCAATAAACCCAACAGAAAAAAATAGCAAGCAGAAGTAAGGAAATTGTATCATCTTCTACATTATTGGAATTCAGAAAGAGTTTTCAGGCTCTCATATGGAATTAAAAAATAGGGGAAATGGAATGGAATAGGAAACAGGAGCATGGACATGGCAGAGTAACTTCTAAGATAGGTCCATTGGTTATTTCTTCTTGCTAATACATGAGAGAGGGAAAAGACAAACAATACTGCAAAACAGTGGCTATTATTATACTATAGGTTTTAGTATCACAGATTCTGAAAGAAATTCAAGCCATGGGCAACTCATGTAGTCATGGAAGTTGTTAGATCAGTGAGAAGCAGCAGGCAAGAGGAGCGAGTGAGTTTCAGCACTATTTATTGCAATAGTAAGTGACTGTGCTCTGCTGGCTGGGCTGCTGGAGCTCGCCTTTTAAGGAGCTCCGGCAGACCAGCTGGCTAATGATAGTAGTTTAAACATTCCGGGGTTTGGGCAACCAATCCCTGGTGAGCATGTAAAAACATGTAAATTAAGATGCTCCGGCAGCCCAGCCGGCCAATGACAGTTTTTTAAACTTCCCGGAGTTTGGACAACCAATCCCTGGTGAGCATGTGAAAACATGTAAATTTAATAACGTATGCCCATATGTAACACAAGCCATGAACAGAAAATAATTCTTCCAACTGATAATTTTCCTTGTCAACTAAACTGGAAAAATATTGATTACATCTCTCTTAGGCAGACTGAATTGAAAAATTGGACTCTGCCGAGTAGAGGAGGCGTGGTCAAGATTTCTTCCAATTCTGTCTCTAGGCAAGCAGGCCAAAATTAACCCATGCTTGGATTCTCCAAGCAGCGCACAGGAGAAAAGTAAATGCAGTAGGAGCAGATATTTAATGGGTGATGGATAGATGAATGTGGATAGCATACAAATGAAAAGTATTTAATTGGATGGAGTTTATGAGATATTCAAAAAGAGAGACATAAGTTTAAGGAATAAAAGGTAGCATATAATGGTTGTGTTGGAAGCAATGAGTATTTGCAAGGATAACAAGATATAAAAGGGTACAAGAATATTAAATCAAGTGCAAACCTGAATTGGAATTTCTTCTCTCTCTTATTTCCTGCTTTGATTTGGTTACTACAGTTTTACTTTATTTATATTTTGAATATAAAAGGAATAGCATATATATAAAGAGGTAGTTCTTGTTTAGCAACTGCTTCATTTAGTGACATTGCAGTTACAATGGTGATGAAAAATAGGTTTGCAATTAGTCCTCATATTTATGACCTTTGCAGGTCTGCAAAGCAAAAGAAATGACACACAAATTGGTGGTTTCACTAAATGGCCACTTCATCTGATTGTTGAGTTGCCAATCCCAGTTGTGGTCTCTAAACAAGGACTACCTATATATACTAGAAACATATAACAAAGGTTCAGGTATAGAATGATTGAAACCTGGCTCAATAATACTTTTTTGAAAGTGTCTTTGAAAAAGTTCTTGGAATAGTAGTGAACTGTAGACTAGCAATTTGAAATGACTGCAATATATAAGGGAAAAAAGGAAGTACAACTTTAAACTGCATCAGTTTCAAAATCATTGGAAGTGATTCTGCTTTGAACAAATATTTAAAAAAAAACTTTGTCCAATTATGTGGATCACAAGTTAATCCATCCTCCCCTTACTGTGGAGGAAAAATGGGAGGGGAATTGATATCACACAGAAAATTACAGTCTATTCTGTATAGTTCCAAAGTGAAAGACATAAAATAATGTATTCAAATTATAGAAATGCAGATTTTGAAAGTCAGTGTTAGAAATAAACAGAATTGCAAAGCTATCACTTCTTAACAGTAAGAAAAGTTAAATGTTGGAACCCATTGAGATGATATCTTCTTCTTCAATGGATGTTCAACCAGAGGCTAGGTAATCAGTAGTCTGAAATGCCTGAATTTAGAATCCTCTGTTGAATAAGTTGATGGGTTGGATGGCAGTATATGTCTTCACACAAAGACATTAAATACATACACCACCTTTTCATGGACTAAATTGTATGTAAATGTAGTCCTCCCCCTAGGACCACAATGAATATAATGAGTCATGTGACCAGATCCAATTTTATGGTTATTTTTACCATATTTGTTAAGCACCCAAATCCTGATCACTTAATCATGTGGATAATGCAACAGTTGTAACCTTGAAAGACAAATTGCAAGTATCACAAGTGCAATGCTTTACAGTGATGAGAAAATTTAAATCACTTCTACCAGATCTTACACGACAATAACTTTACATGCGGTTTAAAAAGATATTGACGCTGTATAGATTATTGGTCGCCAACCTTTCCAGCTCCATTGACTGGCAGCATGGAGAGGGTATGGTGTCCCATGTGCATTTCCACCACTTGAGCAAATGGAGTTTCATGCGTTCGCCTGCCACTTCTATGGCCTGGTTCCCAATGGACCACAGACCAGTACCCATCTGCAGAACAGGGGTTGGAGACCCCTGATAGAGATCAATGTAAACCACCAACAGCAATTAACAGTGGTCAGGTGGGGCAAGTAAGAGAGCAAGACAGTAACCTTTGATAAATAAGAAAATAAACTTAAAAGAAAAAAAAACTAGTTAAGGACATATAATATATGGGCATGTTGCCTACATCAATGAAGGCTAGTTTAGGGAAAACTTAATCTTGTCAGGTGGCTTCACTTGTTCTTGAAGTTGAATCCCCAAGTACAACACTTGAATTTCATTTGCATACATTTATAGAGTTGTGGTTTTTGTAACTGAACGGTTCTTAGCTGAGATGGAAAAACACTGACTCTTCTCTGGAAAAAATACACATATCAAACAAGCAAAAGCCTAGATTTTTAAAAAAAACATACACAACATCAACCATCAAGCTGTCAGCTGCCTTCTGGAAGTAGCTAATTTGTGTTAATAGGTAGAGATGCTTAGGAAAAACAAATTAAGTGGATAGGCACATATTGCTATATCTATAAATGTTATTGTATTTGATTGGGATGACATTCTTCCTTTCTCTGTATATCCCTTTTCTTTATTAAAATTAACTATCTTCATCCTTAATCTCTTATTCAAGCAGAATCATCTCCTACTATTCTAAGTGCATTTCCCCCCCTGACTTAATGCCCCCAGAAACTAATAGAAGATTTAGCTTAGCAGCCGGAGGAATTGCCTTTCATCACTCATGGAGAGCAATCAGCTCCACCAAGATGATGAAATATTTCCACAAGTGAGCTATGCTATGTTGTTAAATCATCATCAGGATATTAAGATATGTCAAGAACCATTTTGAGTGACACAGTTACCAGCCTTTCTGATATAATACCAGCCTTTCCCAGTCACAAGGGGATTTTGGATTCTCTTTATCATTTCTAAGCAACAGATGACCGAAAAAATAGAATGACATTATTTCCTATTGAAGCGCTGTGCTGTAAAATGTTTCCTCAAGATACTGCAGCAGTATTTGGGGGGTGGGGGACGACAAATAAAAATCTACTTATGTACTCTTCCTTTCTAATCTATTTCATCAACCATATAGTAAAGTCTAGGATTTTTAGAGCAACGTAAGAAAATGCAATATTTATTTATTTAGTTTTAATTATTAAATTTAT